GGATGTGGGTGGTCATGGGTCCAGCTTATGTTGGTCATTATTTATAAGACAAGGCAAGATGGTCCCCAAAGAAGCGTTCATGAACAAAATTGGGATATTCTAGCAGTAGGAGCCGATGTCTTCTACCAAACAGATGAATTTTAATACATGATGTAACATACCAAATATAGTCTCATACATGAATTTCTACGTTACTGTTGTTCGCGTTTTTGCCTGTTTACTTATTGCATTGCTTAATGAGAACGGTTCATTCCTACAGTTTACGTTCCGTGTTCGCTTAAGCCTATCTGTGGCTTCTGACTCCAGTTCTCACATTCAAACATTCTACCCCGGGGTCTTCCATCAAGTTATTTTATTAGACTCCGTATGCATTTAGCATATGCATGCTACAAGTGTTGACGATCCCATTGATTTGATCGCCGTATTATTAAGGGAAGAACGCAATTATGGATTCATTTATTACGTAATTTTCTCCATTTTCATATAATTTCTCTTTATTCGGTTCAGTCCCCTCAGCGGTTTGTTCCCTAACACCTAACGACAACAGGCCTTAGTTCAAAACTATTAAAACTGTGAATGAAGACGACAGACGAGGGGCCTCAAATAGACTACAGCGTATTAAGTCAAAGTCGCAACTTATTACCTGTGACAAGCTAATATGGAGAGTAAACTGACGGTCTAAGCAGTGATCGGCTGGCGTCGATGATGTGTAGCTGTTTATAAATATAATAAAGCTTGTGATTCAGTAGGACAGTAGTATTGCATTGCAGTCCACACAATTCGCATTGAATTCGGTAAATCAATGAAACTAAATGAGCCAACTGAAACGTGTTTAAATAGTACCTGCAGCAGCAAGCTTGAAGTCTGTATGTAATCTAGAATATAACTGCCACATTAAACTATTCTGTATTTTAGACAGGATATAAGGGTCCTTGTAATGAAAATGTAAACTAATTTCACAGTTGCAACAAAATTGTAAACATGAATATATGCACTTATATAGATAATATATTATCTTGTCACATCTGTACATACATAATACAATTATACACATCTTCAAATACATCTTTTTACAAAGTATAATGTAAATTGAATGCCATTTTTTCACAGTTGCACTCAAGAAATAAATTGCAGCAAATACCCTTTAAAAATACTGAATTTAACTTTATGTAAGCCAGAATGTAGTGAGTAGTCTAATGCAATAAAATCTGTTTCTGTACATTGGACTCTGGAGATAATTGCCGATGAATAGAAGAAGGCATTCTATCCTCATCACTTCTTCCAGTGGTGAAAATACAAATTTTATATAGTTCAGTAATAGCAATTTTCAGTCAAGTACTTCCTGTTCTAGTTATGTCACATTACACACAGAATTCTGGCAGTATGTCATCGTACATTTTTTAAGAAATAAACATATAAGAAAGAAAATATTGTAATGATGGAATTAACAAGTGGGGAAAGAAACTAATGTGGGGACTTATTTTCCTTTAAACGCTAATTTCAAATATAGAACTATCTCTTCCTGTCAAAGAACATTACATTAACACTTATTAACAGTTTGTTAGTTCATAAGTTCAAAAAATATTACACACTGTATTAGGATTGATACACTAAACACTTATGAGATCTTTAAACCATCACATGTCCACAACCACGCCGTCTTGGTATTCCTATAGTTTCATCTTCCATACTTGATTTTGTATCAGTTCCTAATAAAGCCTTATTCCGCTGTTACAAAACTTAGAATTTAATGTTTACATTTTCCCATCATATCGTACAAAGTGAACTTTTATAATATACGGTGGATTTAAAAAACCATTGTAATTAATATAAGTATCATAATTACAATAGTTTTAATAGATCCTTTATAAGATATAATAGCTACATGTTTAGAATTATGTTGTCATTGTGCAAAAATACCATGTTAAGTAAATTTTCAAAACATATTTTCTCTCTTCATTACGTCTTCCATTAAGCAGTATCTATGTACATACAATTGTAGTAAAACTCTCAAGTCTTATTTGAACTCTTAAAATCCTAATTATAGCGTTCTCCTTGAAACTTCACATACCAGACACACAATGAAGATTTAACATCCGGAATAGCAGCCTCGTATCCAACGGCAAGAAGGAACATTTCCCACCAATAAATATAGCCATAGCGAATGTCTGACTACTCAGTCTTAGAGCTCCACGTGAGTGAAGACGAGCCTACGTCTGACACGTAAAGAAATCTGCAGTAAACTATTCTTTATTAATGGAATCGTTTACGGATTTATAACATTAACCCTTTCATCGTCACAAGTACTCCAGTTAGATCCTCGCAATGAAAATTACCTCAATCAAAGCCTCGGACACGGACCTAACACAGGACCGAATGGAAGAAGAGAATTGAGGAGGCCATGGACCGAACACGGACCGGAGAGCCATAGAAGAAGATAGCAATGAAAATTATACTAACTTTTTAGCTCATGTCTTACACAATCTGGTACCATAATTTAATTTATATAATAAATATGAATACTTATATTTAGGGTTGTGTGAAGCATAGAACTATGCAAGTTGTGAAGTAATACATATTATTCAAAGTCTACGTGGCAGACACATTTATTCATGCAGAGAGCATACTCTGAATTTACAGTGAAAGGATTAAAACTAAAATAATATGGAATTATTACAATGATATAACTATGAAGAGACATACTACTTGAAAGAAAGTCAAAAATATGATCATACAGTATTATGAATTGTGTGTGAACTGGTATGTGAAATTAGGGCAAAATGTAAAGAGTTACATAGTTTTAACAATAATCAGTAATCGTCATTGGAATTCATAAATTCTTATCAAAACTTGTAAAAACTACAATTAGGTCTACTTCATATAAGAAACATTTGTTAAATTGTGAATGTAAACATTGAAGTCAAACTCCCTCCAACACATTAAGGACTTTTGACCGCATTGATAAATATATCCAATCATTTAAAGAACCTTGAATCTGGAAGGCCTCCATTGGTAAAATGTTTGATTTTGTCTGGACTCCAGTTACCTCTTTGCCTCGGTAAGAAACATTTAGGAACACGAACTGGTTGTATATCTAAGTCCTGAGTTTCACTTACTGATGTGATTTAAAATGTGAAGCAATATATTGCTGCCAACAAACGCAGCATTTATGAATCAGATCAAGCTACGTTATAACAGATAATCAGTAATTTTGTAATGGGGACGGATTTTGTATTGAGCTACGTATTTTAGTCTTGGCGATAGAAAACTATGTGAGATGGTGAAAGCTTAAGCAATTTTATAAATTTTAAAATAACTTGAAAAGTAAATAAAGTTTAAAATATTTTTCCAACACCTAAGCCTTCCTTCAGAAAAATCAATGAATTACAAAATTATGAATACAAAGGAGTATTATGTTCCCAGTATCAAAAGAATTCCATACAAATAATCATTCATTATCACTGTGTTGCATCCATATGGCTAAAGTAATATCTGTTTAAAAAAATATATGTGAACTAATTATAAATATATAAGCATTTTTATAGATTTTATTGAGTGGTAATACATGTTTATATATCGTATTGACAATCTCCATTTTCAGTGCACTTCACTTAGTGGAATATATTTTTGGCTTCAGCATGTTCCCAATTTTGTTTTTTGTGATATGTTTTAAATTAGTTTATCTTGCAATGACATCTGATTAAACTGTTAACTAAAAGTAATACTGCTATTATTTCCTAATATTTTGAACAATTAATGACTTCTATGGAGGTAAAAATATGCAGGTGGCAATAAAATATATAAATCGCTTCTAATAAAATAAAAATATATACAGTTCTGGACATCTGGTTTAATAAAACCATTGTCAAGAAACTTTTACTCATTTTAGTCTGAAATGAACAGAGTGGAAGCATTTTGCCTTGGACACTGGAGGTACATATGCTGCTCCAGCCATTTTACCCTCTCCAGGAATGGCATCCCGGTTCTTATCGGATAGAAGGCTGGGTGGGCTACAGAACCTGTCTGGGGACATTGATAGAGAAGTGTCCCTGACTATGCCAGGAATTGAACCCTGATCATTAAGCTCATAGCCTAGTCATCATACTGACTAGCTATAAAAATTAGAAGAAATTGCACTCAAATTTTAAAACGCTAATTGAAACATGAAATGGTTGACTTTTTAATTACACTGAAGAATTATTTCACTTTGAAATGAAAAACGTCTAATAAATGAAATTGAACAATTGTGTGTTTTTATGTCAAAGTACCTATCTCATGTCCCACTCCAGGAGTAAAATAAAGCTCATTGAGCTGGACTAATTCTACTCTCACTGATCAATTACATCAATCTTTAGCCAGTGTTGAACTAACGTCATTTGGTAACCTATCAAGGAAGTGACTAGACTAAAAGGGCAAAAGGAAAAATCACTTCAATGAACTTGTATTCTGTAGTTCTTCTAATTCACCCACTTAAGAATGAGACGAGCGTGCAATGTGGAGGAAGAAGTCCACTTTGTTAGCTGTTTGTGTACCACACATGTTGCACTTGAATGGATCCTGGTACCCGTGGTATCCTCTATGCATGCTGTACAAGACAACGTCATTGAATGTAATATCACAGTAGATACAGTGATACACTTCAGAACTATTTCCTGATGCTGAATTATTTTCCTGAGTACTTTTATCTTCTGCTTTACCTTTTGACAAATCTTCATTAACCTTCATTAACTCAGACTCTGGTTGTTGCTTGCGTTGTATATTCCCTTCTAAAGTAATATCTGTGTTCGTCAGATGATCAGTTCTGTCAGGTGATGAAGGTTTCTCTTGACTTTCAGACACACGAGAGTAGTTTTTGTTTTCTCCTTTATTGTCTGAAAAGCTCGCCTGCTGGAGTTTCCTTGAAATATGATCTAACTTATATGCTTGACCTTTGCGTCGATGCTTTGCAGCTTTCATTAATGTTGATTTTTGTAATACAGAAGGCATGGCAGAAGCTTCTGGACTGACAACCATTGCTTCAGGTTTGCTGAGATCTAATGGATCTAATGGATCCACTGTTCTGTTAAGAAACTGTACATGTTCTCCAGTGCTTAGTCTGATTGTTTCATCTGAATGCTGTTTCTGGAGAGATTTTTCCGGAGTCGTTTCCTTCATAGCATTTGAATCACTAACACTGTTGTTGTTGTTGTTGATGATGGTGTTATTGTTCATGTGGTAATACTGGGAAGTGGCTACAAGGAAATGATCATAGTTTTCATCAGATGAATTCCTCTTTGAATCAGAATCATCACTGCCTTTGTCTTCTGTATTCATGATACCATTATGTGGGAATGCAGGCAAGAGAGAATTATGATTATTATTGTTGTTTTTGTTAGTTGAAAAGGCATTGGGTATCGTACAGCCATATGGGTATGGTATAGGAAGTTTTCCAGATTGCTGAGAAATGACTCCATATGAAGGCTGGAATAATGGTAATGGCAGGGGTGCATGAGAAGGTAAAGGAATATCATTGTTCTCCTTAGATGTAGATTTCATCGTGTTCCTAGGGCGTTGCTTTGGACCACGACGAGTGCCATAAACATCAATGATTGGATATGGATTTGGAGTACCATCTGGATTGAGCACTGTAGCAGGAGAATGTTTATATTTACGCAAGTGGACCTTGAGACTATGAAGGTATTTGGTGGCATAGTCACAGGTAGCACATCGGTATTGACACACATTTGAATGGGATTTCAGGTGGGAGTTTAGCATTGACTTATTGACGCATGTATATGAGCAATGCAGGCATTGGAATGGCTTTGAATTAACGTGATTCCGAAGGTGATACTCCAAATGGTGCTTATACTCTGTAACAAATGGGCACCTCGGGCAGTTAAGCATTTTTTCTTTCTTGATATGGCATCGAGAATGATTCCAAAATTCCATCTTTGTTATAGCAACAAAAGCACATTGCTTGCACCGGAAAGTCTTTACTTTTCCTTGAGAATTTACCCGTGGTACTCGAATGCCAGACTGCTCTTCCTTAGCCTCAATCATTTGCTCAGCAAGTCCTGGGGATATCATATGATTCTCACGAAGATGTGTCTCAAGCTCTACTACGTCTTTGGTGACAAAATCACACTTGGTGCACTTCTGGTCAGGGCAGTGGATTCTGTTGTGGTCATTGAAGTCAATCCTTAAAAAAGAGAACAGTGAATTAGTAACCTTGCAAAGACACATCATGTGAAAAACAATGTAAAAATGAGAATAAAAAATGTAATTAAGTACAGATCAATGATAATTCAGTCACACAAATAGTTTCTATTTTAAATAGCAGTATAAAATTTTACTATGTTCAATGACTTCCAACATGTGTTCATTCAATCTAAAACTTCACGCGTGTCAGCATTACGAACTTACAATTCATTTGGACCTGCATTATTATATATATAAACAGCAATGAAAATTACCCTTTCAATCAAATTATCCTAATACTCTAAATGAGAAAGCCTTACCTTGAGAGTGTAGTATAATCACAAAGAGGGCACTGGTATATATTTCTAACTCCATTATTGCCAGCTCCAGTCCCTGACGCAGCTTCTCCGTCACCTCTCATGCCGCCCATGATAGATGATTGCTCCACGGCCATCTCTAGACACCTTAGTGGATACTGCTCTCCTTCAGGCAATGTCATCTTGAAATACTCATTTCCTCCATCTACCATCATTGTAGATGATGATGTTGATGATCGACTATTATCATCAGAAAGACTGGAATTTAATCCTGGAAGAGCATTTGTATTGGCTATGGGAGGGGTCTTCGTGTTGTGTGATAAAATTCTTACAGGAGAATCAAACATGGGGCTCTGGGTACAGCGACTTGGAGAAGCCGTAATCTGACTGATAACAGGGCTTCTGTTTGCCATTGAATTTAAGATTTGCAGCGGCGATGTGCTAGGAGTGTGGGTTTGGGTTACGTGAATTCTGGATGAAGGGCTTGTATTTTGTTGCTGATGAGGATGGTCTGCTTCGGACACGGAGGTTTGTGGTACAGGTTTCAGTATACTGCGCTCTAAGTTTGTGTTGCTTGCTGCGGTTTTTAACGATGCAGACACTATATACTGATCGTGAGAGTGCTGCAAAGGATTTATCCCCCACATGTTTTGGTTTGTACGCTGCTGACTGTGTGGGCACTGACTGGATGATGTATTTGACTCTGTGTTAAGTTCAGATTTAATTCCTTGGTTTTCTTGAACACCAAAATGTTCTGGAGAGCCAAATGAACCACTCTGTCCAGGAGATGGTCGTCCAACACTGCTGCTGCCAGGTGAAATACCAGAATCATCATTTGGGCTGTGTGATCTGTGCTCAGTGTCCATCGGTTCTTGTTTCTATAAAATAGAATAAAATAAAATTGTAGGACTATGTATATTGTATGTGGCTACAGACATAAGCAAGTTTTACGCAGTTTATGAAATACAAATGGTATTGTGATAAACTAAAATTGCATTATGTCTGATGAATTCTCTGAGCAGTATTCAATGCCTATCTTAGATGTAATTTACTTTCTATACGTAGTTAGGCCTATAACAGTTTTAATTACATTTTAAACAGCTTTAATGTTCCTCTGCTTTTCTGGAAGTCCTCCCTTGATTTTGTGTCTTAATTCTTGTGTAATTATTTGGTGGATAAAATAATGTTTAACCAGTTACACAAAAATATCAGATTCTCTAGATATACTGCTCTAATATTTTGTTAAGGGCTGAGAAAAATCAAATTTGATATAGAATACTTCTCCTAGTTTCAAAAACATACGAAGGATAGATTTCTCACTTTCACATTCAGTTCCTTTACATATTTCTGTTTATTGTATACTTCACACAAAATAACACTAATTTTCTTGTGTGAATATCTAGTCCCTTAACTAGTCTGTTTTACAGGTATAACAGCATGAATTGACAAGATTCAGATTATTGCATATGATAAAACTACTGAAAATTTCACTTCTGTATTGTAACTTACCACAGAGACAACCGGTATCTGTGGAAGAAGAGGCCCTCTCTGCCAAATGCTAATGCAAGAATTTTCGTCTGATATACAATTTTCTCTGTAATCACTGTTCACCACTGTGGAAATGCTTGCACTGGTCAGAGGCACAGAAGTTGTACATGTTGTGTTCATATTGTTGCTTTTTTTGGTATCCAACATCTAGAAACAAGAATTGTAATCACTGTTTAGGCTACTCTTAAACGGGACTTAGATTTTGAATGGCATTCCAGAAATTCTAAATTTTCCAGGTACGATTTTACAATTCTTTCCTTCCTGACCTTATTTTTATACAAATATTTTTTTCATATTCGGATGTCATGTTCCGTAAACACTGAAATTAATGGACAGAGATACTTGCTTCTCACTACTAACTGGTATACTAAAACAACGTTTATGGGGAAGCATCTCGTACATCTTGGTATCTTGATTCATATTGGCTTTAGGTACATATTAATAGATCACTGGCATGAGTTTAATCGTTCCTTTAAATAGCAACTTTCTAATTCATACAAGGTCTATAATTATTTCTGTAAACATTGTCATAAGCCTGTGATAACATTATATCTTGTGTGCAGTTACAGTTGTAAAGATTTTACAGGCCTCTTGTAGTAGTCAATTTTCATGTTATTGTGTCGAGTGCTTCTGAAGGAAATTAAAATATTGATAAAACTGACATTTAATTAAGTATAGACTACCAATGAGTAAAGAGCCTCCGTAATTTTAGTTACAGAAATTCTTGCCTCTGAATTCCTAAAAATTCTTTTACGTGTAACAGTGATTGCCAGTTACCTTGCCTCGTAAATGCAATAGTATTAAAAGGTTGAGAGTAATGCGAAGATGACATCCTCCGTGGATGTTGCGCCGTTTAGTCTCGTAGAAGTTGACTGACGCCATAACAGGGCGATCAAACGTCGATCAACTTCTACGAGAGGGCACTGCGCAGTATCGCACAAGACTGCCATATTTATGATCAGCGTCATGAGAATGTGAACTCTTAGGTATATGAGAATTTAGCATTTCTGTTAAACTAAAAAGAAATAGGCTACGTGTTACTTGTTTTGTTGGGCTGCCAAGGACACTGCCAAGCCTTCAGGAAGAAAGTTTTCGAGAAATGTCCCATACACCAATAAATATAAAAAAGTTAAGGCTGTGTGATGAAAAGGAACAAACAACTTTCAATAAAGGCAGAACAAAAACAACCTCCGACACAAGCATTTTAGTCTACCCTTTTATTCCAATCCAGAGTTTGTTATATTAGAAAGAAAAGAATAACAGGTAGAGAAATAGCAGAATCTGGCTGTTACTTGCCAACCGTCTGCTTTTAATTGAAGATGGTTTATTCTGAAGCATTTGTATCAAGTGTTAAAATGCATTCCTTGCAAAGGTCAGTTGTGTCAATCACAGCTGACATGGACTGCTCAAACAATGGAATCACCAATTCGAATCTCGCTTGGAGTATGGGTGTATGTTTATGACTTCTGTGCTGTCTCTCGTGTGTGTAGGGCCGTTTCAATGGACTTGGCCTTAAGGTATCTAACAGACAAGTGAAGAAGAATGTAAAATGTGAATCATTGAATTTCGGTACGCAAAGAAGATAATTTACAAGAATACTGATAACGATTATGGCTGTCTTCTGAGTTGTTACGTCGTGGCATAAGTTTACCGAAGTTTTAGAGGTCCTTGCTGCCTCCATTATCAAGGTAACAACCCATAACATAGTCAATTTCATACTTGCCGCCGCGATAATAAAATGTAACTGCTGCTTTTATATGCTGAAGACTGACAACAAAATACACATTGGAAGCGACAGAGGGGAAATGCACGTGGCCAATTTATACCATGATATGCTGAAACAAAATTCAAAAGCCCACTTATCAGTCGGTAAAACCGCTTTCCAGACTCAAGGGATGGCATTCACACGCAGAATATTTGTTAAAGTCTAGCTGCAGGCAACCAACAGGACATCGCTTTTGCCTTCAGTTGAATACTACAATAGTTTGACAAAATAAATTTTTGCAGGCTTCCGTGTTTCATTAGGCTATTGTGTTGAACTGCAACCTTTATCCCCAAAATCAAAAGAGCAAGCCAACTGCCAAGAGAGTCTTGGAAACAACTGCCAGTGGGCCAAGCGTTGTTTTGACACCATGGTAACAAAAGAGGGTGATCGTCGGTGAAGCCAAGGTGCTTAGAAGGGTTACGCTCAAACCCGGAAATGGTGCGTGGACTCCAAATGTGGGTCAGCTGCACAGCACCGGTCATCTACAGGGCTGATTGGTATCAACAGAGAATCAGGGACAGATAAATCCCGGGGGTGGGCACGTCCAGCTAGCATGATCTCCCGTCATTTAGACGTACCCAGAAGCAAGAATGGCGGAAAAAGTCGAAATGAAATTAGACTGATATGATGGCGGACATGTCAGGGAAAACTGCAATCAACCATGCTTTCTGCAACAAATATTGTAATTTGCTAAGGAGTGAAGTGAACATGTTAAAATATCATTTTCTGTTTACTGGTACATATCTTGTAATGTTAATCAGGTACAAGGATTGCGTAAGGCCTTAAACTAACGTAATTGCGTCAAAATGTGTTGCCATAAATTGATGCATGTAACAGTGTTGTGTGGATGGAATTTAAATATAACGCAACTTAGGAATTATAGAGCCACACATTACGCCCAATGTAATATAACACACACGAACATGCTGGCAATTTCTTGCTGAACGTAAATATGAGGACGCTGTCTAATGTGTGGGACAGTGCGAAAATTGATGTTTCGTAAAAAATGTTCGTTGGGAAAGGAACCCCAGACATGGAATCTTGTACTAACAAAATTGTTTTTGCATAACAATCTCTATTTTATAATTCCGCTGGTAAACAAGACTTGGGAGTCTTGTGTCGTGATAGCTCGGCCAGAAAAGTGACGATCGGGGTTCTCTTCTGGAATCGGCACGGCGTTTTTCTTCCTTCGCCACCGCAACCGAACAGACTGCGTCACACCTAGTGGGCACTGGGTGTGTATCAGTCGGTCGGAGTACGAACCTGACCACCCAGCCTTATCTTACGCCGAAGTTTAGAATGCGTGGATGTTTACATCTGTGCTTCCCTCCCCGTACTCTTTTACGGCGTGGTGGCAAGGCGCAAGGCAAGTTTAATATTTTGTAGAAGGATTCATGTAACATTTGTTTAAATGTCTGGTATTTTAACAGAAAAGACCTAAGTTATCTTCGGTAGCGATTAGTTTGTGCGTGTTTAACGCCATGTTGTGAATCTATTCTATTTCAGTTAGATTCACAATCATACAGCAATATATAATAAATAACTCTCCGTTAGGCACGTTATTTATTTTATGTAATTAATTCCAATTGTGACATCATCAGACATCAATGCCTGAACTTGTTTGATAACATTAATACATTTTACACGCTAGTAACCCATTGTTAAATTCTAATGATATCAATAGCCAGTAATTATTAATTTAAATTACTTTACCGATACTATGTTTAGAAGCTTTGAACTATAAGAGTAATATGATAATAAAATAATTTTTGAGAAATTACCAAACGATAGTTCGGTTTGTATTTTGTTCAGTAAGCTTATGGACGCAAATTTAAGGCTGTGTGGGAGAAGTTTCCGTATGGCTTTGCTCTACGGCTATTTTATTCACCACATAAACGCACACAATGTTGAAAATATTCACGATTACTCCAAGGCCAGCACGGAGTGTGTTCGTGAATTGCTTCACCGTGAAAAAAGTAGCATGGCCACATTTTCAGCCGAAAGTTTTAGGGTGAGGGATTCAGAATAAAAATAGCGAGTCACGTGAGACATGTTTGTCGAGAAATTATAAGTAACTGTTTGATAATAAAAGTACTGCTGATAGAAACGTCGATAACAGCCGATATTGCGGTTGTTTTTGTTACCGTGCAAGGAAAACATTTACTCCAGGAGAAAATGAAATCAAAAACATTACCGCATTAAACACATTTGTGATCCCATAAGTACCGAGCCGTTTGCGTATATTGTGTGGAAGTAAAACGCTGGTGCGAGACGCAACGAAAATGTTCGGCTATCGTCTTTATCCACAGGAAAGTGTTATCGGTACGATTCTATTAAAAATACAGTGAAACGATTTCTGTAAAAGTGTGTTATAAGATTAATAAGCTGACCGAGGGATCAGATTAGCAGCGAGCTCGGCTGGCCAACCTGGACACTGCTGTGAAATTCTGGTCAGTGTAGCGGGTTAACTCAGTGGTTTATATGTTTGTGTTGTATTAGGGAAGGTACCCGGTTCGAATATCAGTCACTTTCATTGACTTTTTTTAAAAGACGCTGTCATAATTTGTTGCTGTACATTCATTCGGCGCTGGACATGATTTTACAGCGCCAAATGATTGGATGATAAGTAATGAATTGGAAAGGGGAAAGTGAATGACGAGAGCCAGGATCCGTCAGGACACTCGATCTGCGGCCGAGGTTTGAACCGGTTACATCCCGAATACAAAGCTCTCGTGATGACCACCCGGTCGCGAAGTTCGGTGAATTGCAGGCGGGATATCTGCTATTCTGACAAGCTTTCGTGTTTCTTCTCAGTTCCTCCGTCTAGATACAGAGATGGTAGATCCTGCCTCCAAATATCTTCAAGCAGCGATGAAAGGAATTGAAGAGTTCTGTCTTCTGGGTTGTTGCGCCGTGTAGTATGGTCGATGTTTACCAACGTTTCAGAGGTCATACTGC